AAAGAATAAAAACAATATTACGACAAAAAAAAAAAGAAAAAGATCATTTGCTATTCGCTATTCAATGATATTCTTTAAAGCATCTCTTTCTCTGTTTGAGTTATTATGATAGAAGACTTAAAAATACATAATGAACAGATAATTTAATAGGAACGTCTTTTATTATCAAAGGTTCGCACTTTATGCATTATTGCCCATAATAACGCGTCTTATGTAAAAGTTGATCTCGTCGCGAAAAAATCGCTCTGATTGAATTAAAAAAATTAATGAAATTGCGTACATTATACATAATATACAACTCCTTTTGTTCTACAGTATTATTATTATTAATATTATTATTATTATTATTATTATTATTTTATTATTATTTATTATTAATATTATCATTATTATTATTATATTAATATTATTATTAATATTATCGTTATGATTAGAAACACCGTATTTTTTAATGATCATACGTATGTTCCCTTCATGATCAAATTTGTACATATAGTTAGCTTTTTCGAGACTGGACAAAAGTGTAATAATACATGATATAACGCACACAATACACAATCTGTTTTAAGTATATTTCGTCTTGATATATGCGTATAAGAAATACCATTGTGAACAAAATCCAGCACAAATGTTGAAGTCTTATATCGTTGAGAATGATTCTCGAAGAGGTCGGATAGTTTTAAGGAGAGAGTTTTAATCATGATATAAATTACTATTTATTTTTCATAATAAATTAAATTAATCCATTATCTATATATAATTATTATAAAGAACTGAAAATTTTGCTTTTTTATTTATATCATGATCCTAAAACACCGACCCATTTTTTAATTTATATTATTATTGAAAAATATTATTCAAAAATAGTGGGTTTATTAGATCTCAATAATAAAACAATCAATAATAAATATTACGTTGTAAAAATAAATTGAATTAATATTGATAAAGGTGTTGCATTGACATATGAATAAAGGATAGGCATTTTTTTAATGATTGTGTCAGTTAAAGTGTGCGAAAATGTCGAACAAAATCTTCCAAGATGATTAATTAATAAAGAAAAAAATGGATGAATCTTAGGAAGACGCTTCCAGAGATTTTGATTAAAGTGGAAGCTCCAGTTCTTTGCATACAAATGTTATCTAAGAGCACAACATTACAGCAAGGAGCCACGCAGCACGATATAAAAACTTGTTAATTAATTATAAAATAATTTTTTGTCCATATTTTTTAATTAAATTAATTTATCTAAAATAAATAATAGAATTTTTAATTTTAATAATATATTATGGTATATTATCGAATTCTTTTACCATATAACAAAATTCTTATTCTATTGATAGAAACGATGGAGTCTTTCTATCCCATCTCATGACAGATATTTATTACAAAAAGAAGTACAGAAATTACAATAAAACATAATTAAATAATATTCCTAATAAAATTTCTTGTATTTATAATAATTACATGATTTTTTTTACTCTTAGACTTCATTCTACTTTTTTTTTTCTTTTTTTTTTTTCTTTATATACTTTTGTTTTGCTTATTCAATAAAAAGTTTTGTTACAACAAAAGCACGCGTTTTTAAGTTGCTCCGTGCCTCCTTGAAAATACTTCTCACAGTAGAACACTTACAATTACTTATTTACCTAGTACTTCGTACTTACATTCGAATATATTTGACTTTTTTTTATAAACCACTATTTTTACAATCCTTGCCGATCTCTCATTTATGGAAAAATGGCTAAGATAGACACAATATAATTATGATATTTTTGTTTTTTTTTTCTGTGTAAAAGATGCCGATATTTGCAATATAAAAATGTTACTTAGGACCGGCTTTGTAACAATTTCATTCATACAGTAGTTATCGTCTTAACCGACTACGAAGTCTGTAATACGGATAATAGAGCAGTTCGTTATTAGGTCGTTCATGATTTTGATATGCAAGAGTTCAATGAAAAGAAAATGAAATATCATTTTAAAAGCATACTTTGCAAAACTGATATATTTAAATGACATTATTTTTCTTTTTCTTTTAATTATTTAGGTCCTTTGTAAATAGATTGCCTTATGATCCAGCAGTTAACACATACACTTTGCAGGAAAAATTATTAGTGCCGTCATATTCGATCAAAGAATATTGGCAAATCTTTTCTTTTCTCTTTTATTATTAATATTATTATTATTATTATTATTAATATTAATATTAATATTAATATTAATATTA